AAACCCTTATTGCATCTCAAAACCTGTAAGGACCATAGGTTAATCAAACTAGGACATGAACAAAGCTTAAACAAACAAACTGTAAAAATCAAGCGAATCAAACCATGAAACTGTAAAAACCCTAAAAGACAAGAAATGAATCATACCATTCGAGCAAGGCCTTGGATTGTAGTGAAGAAGTGAGAGAGTGAGGTGGCGCTCCAGCGACCTAGGGCTCATGGAGGGAGATCAGAGCATCGTGACTGAGAAAGATGAAAACAAAGAAGAGAACGAGAGAGCGGCGCCGCTGTAGCCAAACACACTAACCCTAATTGCTTCTGAACCCTTAAAAATTGTACAAGCTTGCAATTGGTCCTGTCCCACATAATTGCCTTAAGCCCATCGTTTTTTGCTAGCACCCCCCTCTATTCTGACTTGTTTTTTTGTTCTTCTTCATTTTCATTTGGGCCAACCAAAAATCCCAAGCCCATCCCTCTTTAATTTCTTTTCCTTTATTAAACAAATGTTTTCTAATTAACCCATTTTAATTGATTTGTTTTATTTCATTAATTTATTTTATTTTGTTAATAATAATACTAGTAAGATTTATTTTTTAAAATTAATTTTATTGTCTTCTTTTATTAATTGATTTTGTTTCTTAATAAAAATACAAAAAATACTAGAATCTTTGTTTAATTAATCTTTTCTTTTAAACTTTTTTATTTACGTAATTAATAAAATACAAAAAGAATATTAATAATATTTAATCTTTCTTTTTAGAATAGATTTTTTTACTTACTTATTTTCAAGTTAATAAATATATGCATCTCATAATATTAATGATTTCTTTATTTGTCATAATTTTACATTGAATTGCGACAATTCGATTTGGTTGTAACACTTGATATTTGGACTTTGTTATCTTTGTGAGATTCATCCCCGTTTGTAAACAATTTGTACCCCCATCCCCGGATACTTTTGTAATAACTTAGACTTTTAATTCCCGCAATTTATTGCTTTCAATATACTGTATAGTAATTAGGCGTGTATGGCAAGATTCAAAATCAATCACTAGATGACCTAATACAAGATCCAAATGCATGAAAATGACAAACACAATACACACGTGCACCTCTAGGGTAACCTCGCTTGTTGCCTCGGAAATACAATCATGTCCCTCGAATATGAGACACTCTAGCAAATTCCCCTTCGATAAACAAAGATCGTAGTCCCTCGATGACCCTCGATGTTGCCTTTGATAAAACGATCTCGTCCCTTACAAAATTGCTAGAGCGTATCACAAGTTGCCTTCAATGATTGTATGCGATGACCCGCGCCTATCCCGTTTAAACATCCTAACACAAGGTTGTTCACCAAATGCAATGGTGAAATAACACTTTCAAAAGGGTTAAAAACATAAGAAAGATCTTTGAGTAAAATAGGGTAGACAACTCTTAGTTACTTGATCAAAAGCTTGCAAAACATCCTTGCTATTTTCAAACACACATCACAACACAATTCAAAACATTTCCCAAAAACAAACTTTCAAAACATTGAAATATCTTTTCAAAAAGACAAACACCTTTGTATATATTCAAACAAGAATCATTACAAAGGTTTCCTAGACAAGGCATCTTTTTCAAAGCATTTTCAAAAATCACACACAAAGCACCATTTCAAACAATTGAAAAGCAAAAGCAAGTGATCTAAAATAAGTAACTAAGAGCCCATGGAAAACCATGGATGAAAAGGGTGCTTGCACCTTCCCTTTTCATAATCTACCCCCAGAACCAAAGAAAAAATCTCAAAGGTATTTCCTGTGCTTTTTGACCTTTCCTTAGGATAAAATAAAAAGTCGGTGGCGACTCTTGCTAAACCGAACGATTGCAAACACAAACGCAAAACCACAAGTCAGTTCTACCACCGTATCACAGCAATCAAATCAAATTCTCAAAAATACAAAAGTGAGAATATCCAAAGCATATGACAAATAGATAGAAATATTAGTGTCATAATTTCGATTGAAAATTATAAATTTTTTGTTAAGATTTGATCTCTGTATATCTTTGATTTTCTGTGGAGATATGTGGGGATGGGGATGGAGAAAATATTTCCCCGTGACAGAGATTGGGTATGAGGATGGGAAAAACATTGGAGGGGGGGGGGGGGGGAGCATCATCTGCATATTTCCTGACCTGTTGACATCCCTAGTAACATCACCTTTCCCGTAATAAAAAATAAGTTTTTCCCCGTACCCATCTCCATCCCTAGTTATCTTTGTTTACCGTGTAATATTAAGGGCAGTGATGGATTTTTTTGCATGCATACATTAATCGGATGCCCGTTTTAAACCGATACATTTTTGTATTTTTTTTTACAATTTACTCGGATTGGGCCGGTGAATGTTCACTGTTGAATCATTGCTTTTTTAGGCAATTTCTCATTCGCCCTTGCTATTTCTCCCAAAACCTGCATGAAATTCCCAAAAAGCCTTTTGTTTTCGGAGATGCATCTCCGGATGCACCAACATCCATTTTTTAGAAAATAAAATTTGGAGATACAAGCCCAAAGTCAATTGAAGAGTATGTTCAGTGATGCATATCCGAATACACCTTTTTTTTATTAAAAAAATTAGTTCAATTATGCATCTCCGAACTAGATGGACCTATTTAAAGGTCACGTCAGACCTCCCCTCATCTTCTTCTTTTTTCATTTTTCAGAAAAATAAAAGTTTCTCTCTACCTCCCTCTCAATCCCATTTATAGTATACCCTCAAGATTAAGTTTTAAAGTTGAATTCTTGTATTTCTTACCATTCCTAACTACTTCTACCTACTTCATTCAACATCAAAGCACTTTACACCCAAACCCACATTTAAGAGTAAGTTTCTCATTTAATTTATTTTGACTTTTGATTAATGTATTAGCTCAAATGTACTAGTTTTAATGCATTAGATAGCTCAAATAGGTTAGCGTACAAGTTTAGAGATTCTATTTATACAATTTTGATGAGTTTGGTTGAGTTTGGATGAGCTAGAGTAGTTGCAGAAACGGTTCTACCATTGTTGAAGTCAAAGCTTTTTTTTTTCTGGATATGCATATCCGAACTGTTATATTTAAGATTTTTATATATGCATATTTGAATTCGTTTCTTCCTCTTATTTTTGTTATGTTTTTTTTCTTCAGGATGGCTGAAAATTAATAAAGGTTGAGACTTGAGCGACCCATCCTAACCGCCTCTACTCGTCGCGAGAGGGCTTGTCAGAATGAACAGGCTTGATCCGACACTCCAAAGCCTCGTGATAGGGAGGCATCATGCTCAAGTAGTCGACTATCATGAGGATCGGGATCTTAGAGTGGTGATCCCGATGATGAGGAAGGTTGCTTGATCATTCTAAGATCAAAAGGGATGAGGTACAACTGATAATGGATGTTTGTTTGAAAGCTGACCCTATAGAAGCCTTTGAGCAGTGTAGAAGCACCAGGGGTGCACATGACAAGATTACTTGATTGGCAGACTTGTATGGCAATTTTTTTGGAGATATTCGATCACCCCGACGTTGATGATCTCTGGGTTACCTACCATAGGGAGTGTGCTCTAAGGTGATACCTCTTATTCTTAGTTGGCACGTCCATGTTTGTGGACAAAAGTGCAAATTACGCGAATGTGACCTACCTCAAATATTTCATGTACTTGAAGACCATTGGCGAGTGGAATTAGGGGACAACATGTCTAGTTTATCTGTACTCCAACCTGAACGAATGTTGCAAATAGAAGATAAAATAGATGACAAGCTCATGCACCCTACTTACGGTAATCACCAAATTCCACTATTAAGTTACAAACTAATATTGTTTTCCACAGTTGTTACTAATATTTTTTTCTTATTCGTTTTCAGGGATCGATCCTTGTCACTTTCATCGCGTCCACATGTTTAATCGTGATCCGTTATATACTTATGATTGACCATATGCTTGTCGATTTGTCCCTAGTAGATGGAATTATTATATCTTGTCGTACTGTGTGTATATCAACCAGACTTAACACGACAATGTAATATGGAGGCCATGGAAGACCATGCCTTTGATGTGTTGTTGTGCTGTCAGACTATTATGCGGCTTGCACATGTGGGGTTCAAGATTGGAGTGTTTGCGAGAGGCGGAGATGAAGCGATCATACTAGCACAATCCATTATTTCTGAGGCACGGAGTGTCGTGGCTTACCGTAGGTAGAGGAGAAACCAGAGTGTTAGAATTCAACATACATATTAATGTATGCATTTGATTGTATTTTATTTAATTTCAATTAACTTTCAGAATAATTATTGTACTAATATATTCAATTTCTATAATATTCAATTTTATTAAAGCTTTACGTGGTTCGATAATATTAATCATTGAAACAAATAACTGCTACTATTTTAATTGAATTGAAATTAATTTCGACTGAAAACACTACAATAATAGACAATTGGTTCTGAAAAAATCACTCACGAAACAATTTGAAAATCCATCTCTAAATTTTAAAGCGAAATGTGACTTCGAAAAAGTAACTCTAAAATTCTCCTTAAAATATATTCAGAAATGCATTTCTAATATTTAAAAAAATAATAATATTTGATGAATTCATAATTTATAGAAGAATATTTTCGAATTTTCAAATATACAATTCATTATAGGATGAAAAAATTGTTTCTTTTTTAACTGGACCGAAACAAGATGTCTTTGCCCGGTCAAAAAAAAGTTGTCATAAGATAAGATATGATACAGGTCTGCCCAGCATGAGTTGTATCCATGTCAAGTGTCAACGCAATCAAATAAAATTCTCCAAAATACAAAAGCGGGAATATCCAAAGCATATGACAAATAGATAGAATATTCGGTGCGTAGATCCCGTGTCAATTTCCCATAATAATCAAATATAAATTACCCCTAAACCTTTCTCTTCTACCCTCAGGCTCATTATCATCATCATCACCACCACCAACCTAACCAACCTCCTCTCTCCCCTCCTCACCAACAATGGCTCTCAAAGCCGTCCACGTCTCCGACGTTCCCTCCCTCGACCTCGTCCCGGAGAATCCCTCCCTCTCCCTCCTCAACCGTTTCCCCAACGGTAACATTCATCCACTCTCATATTCTCATCCATGCACCGTTCTTGATTATTGTTTAAATATTCATCCATATTTTCTTCATTTTTTCAGGTTTGGAGATGAGCAATGGCGGATTCAAATTGCCCAAGTTCGTTGTGATCGGACACAGAGGAAACGGTATGAATGTTATTCAATCTTCCGATCGGAGAATGAGAGCCATCAAAGAAAACTCCATCATGTCTTTCAACGCCGCTTCAACTTTTCCTCTTGATTTCATTGAATTCGACGTTCAGGTATATCTTTAATCCTTCCTATTTTCTTCAACAATTATCCATCATCATGAAACTTAATACAAAAATTTCCGACAAAATAATCGATTATTATTAGATTTAGATAAGTTCAACGCATGTTCTTTTTCCAGACTCGCCGCGTATTTGTTCCAATGGCATTTTCCGTAAATAAGTTGGGATTTAAGGGGTTTTCTGTTGGTTAGTTTTTGAGTTGAATCGATACTGATTTTTTTTACGTGTTTTGGGTTTGGGTTTGGGCTTTTTTACTACGAAAAAATAGTTTTAGGTGAATGAAGCAGTTAAAGCAAAACTCCGCGTGTGGTTTTTTGTAGGTCACCAGAGATGACTGCCCAGTCATTTTTCATGATGATTACATCTACTCCCAGGAAAATGTAAGCTTTTTTCCTTCCAATTGCTATTATTTTTATTAGAACTAGCGCTCTGCGTCTGATGTCTCTGTTGGGTATTTTGATTTGATTGTGAGGGTATTTTTGGGATTTTTGCAGGGTAATGTATTTGGGAAGAGAATACCTGAGTTGTGTCTATCTGAGTTTCTTTCCTATGGGCTTCAAAGGGAGCCTGGAATCGAAGGAAAAGTTTTGGTAAGAAAAACCAAAGATGGAAGGATATTTAATTGGGAAGTTGAACAAGATGACACACTTTGTACCCTTCAAGAAGCGTTTGTCAAAGTTGAACCTTCTTTGGGTTTTAATATTGAGTTGAAGTTTGATGACCATATTGTTTATGAACAAAGTTATCTTGTTCATGTCCTTCAAACCATCTTAAAGGTATGAATATTCACACAGAAACATTGATTTTTGTGTGTGGTATTCTTAATTTTTTTCTAAGTTGGTGAATGTTTTTGAACAGGTTGTTATGGATTATGCCAAGGATAGGCCTATTATATTCTCTACTTTTCAACCGGATGCTGCTATAGTTGTTAGAAAATTGCAAAGAACCTACCCTGTGAGTTTTTTTTATGCCCATTTAGTTGATTTGGAAGAAATTTTATTGCTATTTTGTGGGATTCTAACATGGCTTGGTGGTTTTTTTTTATGGCAGGTTTTCTTTTTGACTAATGGAGGGTGTGAACTCTATGAAGATTTGAGGAGAAACTCTTTGGAAGAAGCCTTAAAGCTCAGTTTAGAAAATGGATTGGAAGGAATTGTCTCTGAGATTAAAGGGATCTTTAGAAATCCAGGAGCTGTAAACAAGATCAAGGAGGCTAATCTTTCTCTTTTAACATATGGAAAATTGAAGTATGTGGTCCATTATTGGTCTTTTTTTTGTCCATGTATTATTCTGAAATTCTTGTCTTGTTACTGATTTTTGTTGATTTGGCATGATGACAGTAATGTCCCGGAAGCAGTTTACATGCAGCATCTAATGGGAATTGATGGGGTAATAGTAGATTTTGTGCAAGAGATAACAGAAGCAGTTGCAGATATGATGAAGCCATCTAAAATTGGCGAGGAAGAGGGATTGAGTGAAGGAATTGGGAAGGTGGAAGGGAACTCAAAGCCTCAATTTTCACAGCTTGAGCTGTCTTTTCTTTACAAGCTCATTCCACAATTGCTATTGTTATAACAACAAAGCGATGTCTTTTTTTTCATTTTAAACACGATTGATTGGTAGATAATGGGGACGTTTAAAATCCCTTGTATATGTTTTCTATGTTTCACTCGAGGATGAAGGGAATTGTGGTTATGTATTAATACTAGTTTGGAGGTTTTCCATTGAAATTGAAATTAAATATGATTGATATTAACTTGTGTTCTCTTTTATACAAAATTTACATGTGTGACATTGTTGTCTTCCATTGCGATGGGTGTAACTAAGTATAAATTATATGCGTTAGCTAGAGGATATCATAACTGGCAATATTATTTGTTTCTTAAAGAGTATGTGATATAGTGATCATGAATTCTAAAAATACCTAAAAAATTGTAAGCTAAATAAGAGAAATACTAAGTGGGCTGAGTTTTGAAACAATTACCATATGTCATCAAACATAAGAAATGGAAAGATAATGTGGGAGCCAATGCACTTTCAACTAGGTACTCTCTAATTTGTACCATTCAAACTAGGTCTCTTTGTCAAAATATGAGTCTATGTCACATGATTATTATTATAGACATGATGGATATGTGGGACATAGATTATGCATTCTATGTTCGTCGAGGGAGTTGCTTGTTTGAGACGTGTATGAGGGAGATTTAATGAGACATTTTGGGGAGTATAAGGCTCTTGATATGTTGCATGAACAATTTTATTATTCTAAAGCGAAACATGATGTGCTTTTAATTAAGCGAAACAATTTTATTATTCTAAAGCGTAAGAAGGCTAAATTCAAAAGCGAGAAGTATGTCCTGGCAGATTCAAAATTGAAATGGGTGTTGTGTCATTGAAATACACAAAAGTAAGATAGAGCTATGTATACATTGTAGTTTGTGTAAAGAAAATGGATTGAGAGACCCTATTTATAGAAGTTGTAGAGCAATAAAAATCTTACATACATGATCATGTCTGCATGATATAACATCATCAGATCAGTCTTATTTTTTCAAAAAAATAAGGGTCTCTCCGTAGATGTAACTCCAAATGATCTCATGTTTTTTTTAAAATTAATAAAGGGATATTTGAAGATGCCTCTCTAAATCCACCCAAAAGTTATACAGAGCAGATCCAAGCTTATAATGCAGAGCAAAATTTGAAAGAATTTTTTTTTCCAAAAAATACTATCCAATTTTATAACATTATGCAGTGTGTTACTAACAAAAAAACGTGTTACATTATTAGATTACAACTAAAACGCATCAAAAGTTGAGTCACTACTTAAATCTAGTTGTGGCTCAATCTCCGACCTTTCCTTATTTGCGTCTCGTTCAATGTCGCTCAATTTGGTGAACTCTTCCATCCTTTCAAGAAAGTGATCCGACCATGTTTCAGCATGTTATGTGAAATGTGTCGTCCATTTCGGTGATGTCTTTTGTATAGGACACCCCTATTTTCGAAAAGCACATCCATTTGTCAAACGGAGCCGGACCACTAAGACAAGGAACAAGAGAATTGAGAATTATATCATAATTTTCTTTGTTTCCATATAGATTTGTGTTTAATTCCCTATGAATCGTCATCTCTTGTATAAGATGATGCCTGAAAAATTGGTGGTCATCCCTTACCGGATAAACCCGAAACAGCTCGAAAACCATATTTGCTGTCACTTTCAACATTTACAATATGCTCAATGTATTTGTGCATAAAAAGCAACATATCTTCAATGAATTTGATTTTTGGTAACAGCAGTGGAGGAGATGGTTTGCTAATGCGCGCACTCTTGAAAACACTTTTTTGGGAATTTGGAGTCGGATAATCCAAAAAATATGAGTCAACATGCTCAAAATACGAAAGAGACGTCTCGTGAAGTTGTCATTTTGTGTCGGTTTTAACTTTTTAGGGGAACATTTTTTAACTGGTTCTGATGGTGGTTTCAAATCCATTATTTTTGGATATGCAATCTTTCTATGTTTCTCTTTGATATGCAATTTCATGATGTCATCAACTTTCATAAATCTCTCTTGGATCACTTTCCATTCGGTCATGATAGATATGTTTGATTTATCATCTTTCCTCACACCATCATCATCAAAAAGGAGTTGGGTCCAATGAGTGTAAACTTCGTCTATACGTATTGGTTTTTCATGCTCCAACTTCTTTGAAATTAAACAAGCACATGGAAGACCGTAAGTATTCTTAAGTGTACATCCATACTTTGAGCTATCAAAACCTTTTTTATCCGCTTGTTTGGCTTCGTGAAAAATAAAATTCAACGCCTCCCGAGATACGTTACCAGCCAACTGTGAATAAATGATGTTGTCTTTGAATCAGTGTTATAACACAATAATGCTTCGACCAAAATATGTTTTTATCTAATTATGTTGGTTTTGTAGCATTTGGTTCGCGACGTCCCAATCTCGACAAAACCGCCTTTACTGTTTCCCAACCAATTCTTCAGTCTATCATGCACAGATTCAACTCTGTTAGTTGTTGTATTGCCAAAGTGTCGAACCCGATCAGTCCATGCACAAAAAAATTTCTCTTTAACCTGATCCAGAATCGTGCCCTTAACATATTTCAACAAATATGGATATATCATGTTGGACGACGGCAACAGTATCTAGTGAGGGGTGAATAAATACCTCTTTTAAAAATATCCAAATAAAATTTGGTTTTGAATTTTTTATATCAAAGTACGACGCTGAAGCTTTTTCAAATTATCGTCTATACGAACGTTATCGGAAAGCTCGAATATGAAAACCATAAATAAAAATAATATGGAATGAGAATGATAATGTGAATTAGTAACATTAAATCACTTTGCAACTTATTTACCCTTTAATCAATTTTACTTAGCAATGCTATTTTCAAAGGTAATACTAAAAGAACTAGATTAGTCAATTTATCAAACACTTGGCGTGCAAGTGAATTTTCAGAATTTTTCCTTTGATTGTGTTGATATACAAAATCACTTATAATAAATAGTGATTATAAGCTATATCAAAACTTGAGTTAAATATCAAAATTGATTAGGAAAGTTCTTACAATTCAAATGATAACGCAATGCTATTTGATAAATCGAACAAAGAAAATCAAAGCAAGTAAACGCAACAATAAAAGCGACACGAGGAATTTGTCTTCACAGTTCTCCATTATCTTCCTCGCGTGTGGGTACGTCTGCTCCCAATTCCAACGGAATTAGGATAATTCTTACTATGCAAAAATGTTGATACAAGAGAAGTGTTCAAGAGAAACTCCACAAACCATAAGCTCATTGTTGATTTAACCCCTTATCTTTTCTTGATCTAGAGAGATACCAAGACACAATAGATGAGAAATGATTATCTGGATCTTTCTACTCCTTTGCATTATTTACCTCCAAAGCTTTCGTGCACCGTCAATTTCAAACTATTGCAACACAAGACTTTGATTCTATCCAGTACTCCAAGTTATTTCCTTGCAAAAATTTCAAACACTCCAAGGTTCCTTGCAAATATTTTAAACACTCCAGATTGTTCACTTTACTCCAATTACCTCTCGAACGTATTGCTCAAAACCCCCCAAATCAACCAATGATATTGGAGGATAAACTTGAGGTTTTTCCTGGATGAAAACCCCTACAAAACTCCACTGAATACATAATTGGACACTAGCAATCCTCGTCTAGATGGAACCCCAACGAAACATCGCTATAATTTAATGTCAGTGTGAATGCATAGATTAAAGGTTGAAGGTGAAGAGAGAAATAGGTTAATTTTATGGTTTTCAACAAGTTGGAATGATGCATGACAGAGTATTTATAGTTTTGGAACTTTTAGGGCAAAAAGAGATAAATTCGGAATAAAAGAATTTAAAAATTTGATCAACTAAAATAGTATGTGTCGATCTAAGAGTCGTTTGTGTCGACACATACGTGATTTTTGGATAGAATGGGTCGACCTATAAAGGCCCATGTGTCGATCGAAAAGTTACAGAAGCTACATGATTTAAAGAGATAGTAAATGTTTCGACCTAAAAGAAAGCTACAGGCTTTAAAATGATAGTAAATGTTTCGACCTGAAAGATGGATGTGTCGACACATAAAATAAGAATTTCTGCATTTTCAAAAATGCTTAAGTATGTGTCGATCTGAAATGATGCATGTGTCGACCTGAGACTTATAGAAGCTACATGCTTTAAAAATGAATTACATGTGTCGACTGGAAATATGGATGTGTTAACACATGCTGTAAAAAAACATGCAGAAAACAATTTTTAACGACTTGGATCATATTTGGCATATTTACTAATGATTCTTAAGACCTCTAATGTAGAGGAGTTCCACAAGACATAATGATACCATACAATACTTAGAGGTGCAAGATTTTCTTAGCTTTGACATCATTCAAAATATTTTCCGATGAAGTTTGTACTCCCATACTCCCCTTTTTGATGATGGAAAAACTTACGATGATGCATTCCTTGTATTTGTTAGGCCCCCCTGACTTTGTTCTTCCCAACTTTAACTCGCATATGCTTCTCCCCTTTTGACAACATAAAAAAGAAAGAGATCAAACTGTGAGAAGTAACATAGTTCCATAACAATACCAATACAACAATCAGAGGCTATTTTGCATAGAAGAGCAACAAAAACATTACAACAAACATAATGAATTGCATAAGACTAAATAAGCAAGATATGACAATATTTTCCAGTTGTTTTTGTTGCATCACTAACAAGTAACGCTTCATAATGGAACTCCCGATGTCGCATATGCATGTGCCTAGCATAACAACACGAATATGTCGCTACTAAAACTAAAAGGAAGACGATATATTGCAAATATCACATACCAATAATTCAAGCACAAGTGCTAAAAAAATAAACAAAAAGCACACGTTCGCATGATAAGAATAAACAAATGTGAAAGAGTTAATACATGAAGTCATTATAAACGTATGGATTAAAAACACACAATGGTTATTAATAAATTTTTTATGGAAATGAACATTCATGGTTTTCATCATTTGAGAAAATATCAAGAATTTTT